CTGACTCACAGCACCCCTAGAGGACAGAGTGGAACTGCCCCACAGGGTTTCCAAGGCTGTCAATCTTCACAGAAGCAAAGCCCAAACCACACCCACTGCTGTGGAGTCCATTCTGACTCACAGCGCCCCTAGAGGACAGAGTGGAACTGCCTCACAGGTTTTCCAAGGTTGCAAATCTGAGGACCTCTGGTGGCATAGTGCCTAAGGCACTTGACTGCTAACCAGAAGGCTGGCGGTTCAAACCCACCAGCCAGCCACTCCTTGGAAGGAAGACTGAGCAATCAACTTCCATAGAGATACCACCTCGGAAACCCAAGGAGGGGTCGCTGAGTCGAGTCAACTCCACGGCAGTGAGCTTGGTTTTTTATTTTTGGTTTAACATATGCAAATATTGAAGTCTTATAAACTCACTGCTCTCTAGTCTATTCTGACTCGTAGTGACCCTAAAGGACCCTAAAGGACCAACCCCACAGGGTTTCCAAGGTTGCAAATCTTTACAGAAGCCGACTGCCTCATCTCTCTCCTGTGGAGCAGCTGATGGGTTTGAAGTGCCAACTTTTGGTTAGCAGCTGAATGCTTTAACCACTGTGCCACCAGAGTTCCAAAATCAACTCAGTGCTATCAAGTTTATTCCTACTCATAGTGTCCCCCATTGGGTTTCTAAGGCCATAAATTTTTACAGAAGCAGACTGCCTCATCTCTCTTCCATGGAGTAGCTGTTGTTGTTATTTGTCATTGAGTCAGACCTGATTCATAATGACCCCTCCTTGGGTTTCCGAGGCGGTATCACTATGGAAGTAGATTGCCCACTTCCATGGAGTAGCTGGTGGGTTTGAACCACTAGCCTTCTGGTTAGCAGTCAAATGCCTTAGGCACTATGCCACCAGAGGTCCTCCTCTGGAGGTAGGGAAGGAAAAAAACTTGCCTAAGGCACTAGACATCTTGCACAAGGCCTGGTGCTCAAATAATTTCTTTTAGAAGGATCAGCACAAGGCTGGTTCCTATGACGTGGAGGTTAAAGATGTCCCAAATGTCCAACTGTTCCAAACTGCTGTACCATTCCATCACCTCTAACTTCAACTCCAACTGGGGCCACTGTGAGTCAGCATCAACTCAGTGGCAGTGGGTGTGGTTTGGGCTTTGCTTCTGTGAAGACTGACAGCCTTGGAAACCCCGTGGTGCAGTTCCACTCTGTCCTCTAGGGGCGCTGTGAGTCAG